AGACCAGCGGACTTGTTCAAATCACCGGGGCAGAAACAAACAGGTGATATCTCCTACAACCCCGGACCCCGGCACAAGCCAATGTGTCAACACGTCTGACGATGTGCAAGCCATCGACAATGTTGCAGTGGAAGTGGATATTTCAACTGGAAACGATCAAGTTGGGTCTCTGTGGGTTTGGTGGGGAAGTGAAAAGTCCCAAAAGGAAGCCACCCCTTCCCACCAACCACGGCCCCACACGTCTTTCTAGGCACCCAATTTGCGGGTTCCCCGCCTGGCCGCCCCAAGTGAGTGCAGCGAAGGCCCCATCAGAGGCGCAGAGGGATTTCACGTCCACCAGCCTGCCCTGCACTTCGCCTGGGGGCTGAGTCACGTAGCCGGGTGAAAGCATACAGAAAAACCACCCATTCTGGGGAGTTCTTTTGTGATGTTTAGGGGCCACCAGGCCCCATGGGGAGTCGACTCAGAGTCAGGCTGAGATGGCGATGTCTCTCAACAGGGACTCACCTCTTAGCGTGTTTCATGTGAATGCATACGCAAATGCAAAATGTTCGTGTGTAATATGTATATAGATATATATCTACATATGTGTGTATGGTGTGTGTGTGTGTGTCTGTGCGTTAATGTAACCATGAATATGTATTTGTAGATGCATATGTCCATTGATACGAATATCATGTGAACACTCCCAGATTTCAATGTCACATGAATAATTAAAGGTTTTATATATGCCAAGCGGGTTGGGTCCTGGAGCCCAAAGGAAGCACTTAACGGCAAGAAACAAATGCCCACGCCTACCCCTCACTCCAGCCTGTTCAATCAGAATCAGTGCCGTCTCTATTTCCCCCCACCGCCACTTCATCCTTCTGCTGCCAACAAAAGTGGAGGGAGGGCCTCACCCCCCCAAAAAAAGAACGCAAACAAATTCCCCGAAATGCCCAAACCCACCCAAAGCTCCCCCAAAAACAACCACCTGGGGCCCCCGGCTGCAGTCGCCCCCGTACTCCGCGTTGCCCCAGGCGCAGACGCGGCCCCCCGCGTCCCGCGCCGCGAAGGCGTCGGTGGAGCTCACCAGCTCCACCGCCGAGAAGTTCGCCGGCGGCGCCAGCGCGGCCGCGGAGCCCCAGACCACCTCAGTGCCAGGGCAAGAACAAAATTCAAATGTGAATATATACATATGTAATATATATATATATATATATACATGCACATGTGTATCTTCACGAAATACATTTAGATTTATGTGTGTATACACATACATACGCAGTTGCATATGTGTGTATGTATATAAAAATATATGTACAAATTGGCATATGCAAATGCAAGGAAAGTAAGATTGGAGTAAACCCGGCAACCAGTATATACAAGAATTCAAAGAGAGCGATGGGTATGAGGAAAAGGGCTGAGCGCGCAAGCTGAGTCATCGCCATCTCAGCTTCAACTTGGATGTTCAATGATTCTTTGGTAAAAGTGGTCGGTTTGCTAACTCTGCTTATCCCGCTCGTGACCATGGAAGGCAAAACACCTACTAAGCAGGTTGAACCTGGATGGACTTTTGGGAAAGGTATGAGACAAGATATGATGGATCTTGGAAGTGATGAACGGTGAGGATTGAATAAATAAAGACAAAGAATGTCCTTGCATGTTCAATTCAATACTAGCTCTATAAATGTGATTAATACAAGAAAAGTACATGACGGAGTTTTTTTTGCTTAGAACAAAAGATAGAAATGAAAGCGAAGGCTGGGAAGCTCTCGGGAAATTTTGAGGTTGGCCCCAGGCAACCCCCCAACCGCTTCAACCGCTCGAAGGCCACGCCGCGATGTCTCCTTCCGTGGCAGCGCTGAAGCCAAGGGCCGACGCCTTCAAGAGCCGCACCCCCACGAGACGCTCCGGAGGCCTGGCGATCCGTTTATTGTTTTTAACGGAGACAGGAAGTTGGGCAAAAGGCGCCGAGGAATGTCCAACCCGTTGGAACATGGGTGTGCCTTGAAATAGACCCCCCGAAATGGCGTCGGCGTTCCTTTTTGCTTTTAAACCACCAAAAAATACACTCAAGAAAGACGCACCGGTTAAGGCTGGCCAAGGAAGCCAAGGTGTTTCAACCGATTCCCCCTGATTTCACAGCCTTCTTTTGGTGTCCTTTTCTGAAGGGGAGGCCCAACCCCTGGCAACAGGTCAGAAGCCGGCTGGTTTTCAAGGGTCTCAGCCTGGAATCCATCTGTTTTCAGTCAGACTGGCCGAACCACAACGCGAGACAAACCCCCCGAGGCAAGGGCTAAGTCGGATCAATCAAGCGATCCAAAACAATCCAAAAGATTCAGTCTAAAATACCAAAAATCGAAAGATGAAATGGATCCACTAGATTCAAGTCAAAGAAAGATCCTCAACGTCACTCAACCGGTCCATGGGTTATTTCCCCAGAACACCAAGGAATCCGTGAAATCCAACATGTGGCAATCGTCCCTGTCTGGCCATTTAGATCTGGACCCAGAGAGAT